GTCTTTTCCAACCTTAATGATTCTATTCTGTGATTCTATGAATTACTACCCATCCGTGTAAATGATTCAGATTAGGTCAAACTAACAGAAGATTACAGTAATAGAGGTTTATATAGAAAGAGCAGCATGTCACGTACAATCAAAGAACTGAGTTGTTCCCCATTGGAATCAGGAGTGACCTGAAGTCTTCTGCTCAGTTCCTCAGATAGCTCCTGAGGACTGGTTCGGGATACTGGAGATGCAGGAGGAGGTGGCAATGACAAGCTTAAGGAATCTCCACTTGCACTTGCCTCCTCTGAAATGGTTTCCCAAGGCTAGCAAAAGAGAAGAAACTACGTTAAGGATTTATAAAGACAGATCGAGTCTTCTTTGCCGTTGCCTTCTATGTGACCACCTCGTTGTGGCAAAAACAGGTGTGATAATCAGCCTTAATATTTAACAAAATAAACCAATCTCTGGAACACACAAACAAACACTCAGTGTGAAGGAGTCACAGGGAAAAATGGTTTTCATGTTGACTTCAAAATGGTCTTCATGTTGATGATGACACAAAGCTTTATGATCCAACACAGAAAATGATGTAGATGAAAAGATGCATAAAAAAGAGCTCTCATTAAATAAATTCTATTCGAAATTGTGTTCAAGATTAACTAATTCTGCACTCTTACTAAAAACTTGTAAGAAACAATTAATTTTAATTTAGAATAAAATGCATAATAGAAAGGACTCATTAGCATCTGTGAATCAAATATTAACAGGTGACGAGTGCAACAATAGTTTCAGCAATCTATTTGTTGCTCTGAATAACATCTAGTGAACCAAAACTAGCTTTCACAAAGAATTTTGTCTGTGATTCACATAATAAAATATTCCTTAAAGTTGAATGGGATTTGAGCTTTGCACAAGCTCTCACTCTCTATCAAATTTGATTTATTTAGACTAGCTACAAATTAAACAAACACTCACGCTGATTAATAAAATCTCAGAATTCTAACTAAACCCAAGCATTTTGGGGAAAAAACCAACAGCTTCTCTTTCCTCTAAATCAAGACACTGAAGAAAATTGAAGTACGTGGCAGTTCCAGCCAGTGTGTTTCCCTTCTTTTTACGAATTATTCCATTGTTATTCAAAGCAGAATATTGACAGTGTTTCTATCAATATATATATAACAAGCAATGCTTGGAATTATAAATGTTTCTCCCAGCATTTGTATGGTATTTAATATTGTGCATACATTATCAGTTATGCACAAATGCATGGGTCCTTGAAAGTATAGCTCTGTTTAGGATTTTTATTGTGTCACTGGTTATTTTACTTGGGCAATTTCCATAAACACCACGTAAAAACGTTACTAGGTAAAAACGTTACTATGTATGTTGTATAGTAACTAGCTTACAAATGAGAAACACATCAGCTTGAAGTTTAGTCAACTTCTTAAAACCAAGACCTTTACATACCTCAGGAATGTCTCCACTCTCCACAGGTTCTGGTTCCAAATCCTCACTAATGTGTCTCCGAGAGCGGAACCGTCTATGGGCTGCTTCTTGGTTTATTTGTCTGATATTGTTATCTGAATCAGATCCCACATCACTGGATAGTGGGGAAATGAAAGCATGTGAAGGAGCGAAGAACAAGAAAATAATGAATGTTAAACTAAAACACCTACTTTGTCCTTTGCTTTCAAAACCTCATTAATGCTTTTGATTATAAAAATCATTATTCTTGCATACGTCAGGCTTCATAAATAGAAGACCGTTTAATCCCTCAATCCAAAGTAAATAAAACTGGAAGCACTTCACAAATGTCATGTAACAATAGAAATTACCATTCTTTATACATCACAGTTGGGTGAGCAGAAATGGAAGTCCACACTCAAATATACTAACCCATCATTACTCCTCCTTTCCTGTGATGACCAGAATCATTCCTGACACAGATGTTTTATCTTTGCCCCTGTCTTTATGTCAACTATTACTTTCCTTTTTTTGATAGCCAAAGCAAATGCAAGCTGTTGCGGTACGGATAACTTTTTGAACTGGCTGCAACCACTAGCTTGGCTCACACCAGCAGTGGTGGAAATGGAAAATACCCCAGTTCCCTTAATGGAGACCTGCCTGGCTTGTGGAACTTCTCAATGTGCACAGCTAGGTATAAATCTCTATTACAGTACTCAATGGGCAGATGTTGTTAGAAGGCAGTATTGCATTTAAACCTCTCCTTCAGGATGAGGGACTGTAACTGCGGAAGATGGTTAAGTTCAGGAAAAACTTCTTTGTGCAATCATTTTATCATTGCACATTTTAAAGAACTATGATAAATGAACTACTCTCATTTTCCTACTGCAGACATGGACTGCACAGCACTCAATGTTTTTCCTTGATGACCAACTTAGTGTCTGAGTTACTGGCCTAAAAGTGAGAGGTTATGTACCCTACTTTCAACCTCACGAGACCTTCCGCTCCTAGTGGTTTCATAAATTCATAGAATTTAAAGGCTAAACAGCATCATTCTAAAGTCTTCACTCTTCACCAAACCTGGTGTCATGCAAAAGTTTATCAGTAGTAATTACGCATTTGTTTCGCAACTACCTGTGATGATACTTAGCTAAAAGTGAACCCCTGAGGCCTTCATTTTATATACCCATATGATAATGACGCTTTCTAGTGATGATTACTTTTTGGTATCTGCCAGTCAAATGTTTCTGAATCCATGTACTCTTTACTTCATTCAGCATAATCGAATTACAAGTAGGTGCTAAATCAAATAATTTATAAAACCTGCTTTTTTATAGACACTTATTGACCATTACCAATCATAGTGATAGTAGTTGATGATATTTACTTGACAAAACACACATTGCTTAGTAAATAGCTCAAATAGTTCAATAGTAAATAGTTTAAAACATACAGAACAAAATTTAATTCCATGCTAACTAAGATAAATGCATCAGACAAGAAGAACAAATAGTGCCTTAAGTAAGGACAACACACATTTGTGTAATTTAGCTACGATTACGAATTTTCAAGAAAGAAGAACCAGTACTGTTGTAGTAAGCAATAGTGGAAGAACAGTCGCTACATAAAAATAATGCAAGATGTTTACCTAATGCATGATTTCAGTATAACTCTTAACATTGTCAATTATACATACTTTTAAAAATGTAAGCTTGCCACAGCTTTATAAATCTAATCATAAGAAACATATAATGAAGGCTTGAACAGGAACTCCACATAAGCATAACCAGTGTACATAGGTAATGCAGTCTATACACTGAAAAACAATCAGGATCTCCTCAAAGTTAATCAGTTTTAATTAAGTTAAACTAGTAGAGTTGACTTTTTTTTCTCCTTACCTTTTCAACAAGTGTCTATTGAAGGAAGTAATTTATTCCTTTTAAATTACTTACTGAAAAATTCCACATCTGTCTCCCAGTATTCTAAGGTACATTGTTAATGCACTGACTTCCCTCCCACCCCTTCAGATTTCCTAGAATTTCCCAGAATACCTATGTGAATATGTGATTTGCTGGGGGTGGGGAAGTCTCTTCTCACTCTTAAAAGCAAAAAAAAAAAGGACATTTTCTTTTTAACTGAAGATCTCCAGATTTTGGTTCTCAATTTACTAGCACATCTGTGAAAATTTTTCCATGAATAAAGTAGTTTCAGATACGTAGCACAGTTAGCACCAAAATCGTAATTAATCTGTTACTGAAAAGAACAGTGTGCCTTTATAAAGTGCTTTGTAAAAGTCTTGCTTAAGACTTTTTCCAGCCCTGAATTTGTAAATACAAAATGGTTATGTTTGTTGGAAAAAATCACTACTTATTGATAATTTTGCATACATCCACTAAACGTTGCACTACACTGCCACTTACATTAAACTTGGTCGATGCCACTGAGTAGTCCTGTTGTTATGGTTGACATAGTAAGTCCGCCCCAGGTTGTCCACCTTTTCTTCCCATCCCGGAGGCAGCGGAGGAGGTGGTAACTCCTCCTGACGTTGAGATGCGGAGTCACTGGAATCAACCACATCCCATCCATGCTTAGGAATGGGGTGGGGGGGAAATTAATTTTAAAGTTCAAGTTAAAGAGAAATTATTTCATTGTTGCTTACATTAACATACAGGTGCAGATTCTGAAAATTTTCCAAAGTTCAGAATTACTTAAATGTAAACCATATAGAAATAGAGTAAGCCCCGTGGTTATAGTGTGCACCTCACTTCAATGTCAAAAACACTAAAATCCCATCAGCCTATTACGACAGAGATTCCCAAACGTATTTGGGTGGTTGCTCACTCTAGTGGTGGCCAGGTGCAGATTCCCAGTCAAGAAGCCAAATTTTGAGCTCAGAGATGTATGGTTTGGGATGAGAGCCCTCATTCCCAAGTTACAGATGAGTGCTGCACACTATTAGTAAGGCAAACTGGGGCTGACATTCACTCTGTCAGCCCTAATTGCAGCTAATTCTTTAAGTGGATGATGGCTGATAAAAGTGCTGAGAAGTCTTTAAACCTGCTGTGCTTGCATGAGCTTTATTCTCTGCAAAGTCAATGCTGCCAAGGAAATAAAGAAGAATGTTATAACACCTATTTTGAAATGGCCTCTGAAGAAGAGCTACCTAATACGTTATGTTTATAAATTACTTGCATAGACTTTCTGAATTCTTCTACTTGGCATGACTTCTGCTTCTACTTGCTCACAAACTGAGTCAGACAGACTTTAGAATTCATTGTGGCAGCTGAAATACTTTGAAATACTTGAAATGGTTGAGAAAACGCCAGGCTAAAGTTAAAAAAAAAAAAAAAAAGTTGGGGCGGGGAAGGAGAATAAGGTGCTACTAACACTTCTACCAGGGTTTTATCTTTCAAAGGTACAACTTTTTCTACAATTATACTTGAATCTCTGATAACTCGAATGCTTCCACAAACATTAAGCCTTACCTCAGATTCATCCCTTTGATCATTGTTTTCTTCCTCTTGGCCACCGTTTTTAGGCATATAAGCCATCTTCAGCCTCAAGAAACCCTTTACACGAGATTTGTGGCTAGAAGACAAGGAGGTACATTTCATTCAACAACCCTTAAATAGTTGCAAATAACAAACCTTGAAGTAAGAAATGTTTTAAAATACAAAGGTCCTCTCCCTCACCTTCTTGGTCTGAGAAGGAAATCCTTAAATGTGTATGGCCTTTCCATGGTTGGGTCTTCAGTCTACAAGCATTTAAGAAAATGGCAAATTAAAGGGCTTGCCCACAAGTAGAGACATATAAAGAACATTCACATCACAGATGCGGTAGAAAATGCTAGAGAAGACGTTTGAATAACGAAGTTATAGCAGGCAGACCTCTACCGGTGTGTTACCATCCGATGTTAACAGACAGTTGCAGCAGCAGTCCACTAGATGTCACCGCCAATATCAGTGATGGGCTGAAGCAAGTCTCATTTGTCAGTGTACACAACATTCACAATTCAGAAAGAGGTGGAAAAGACCAACTAAATAAACCCCTTCCAACTTTTTCCAGTCACCCAACAGCGGTGTCAGAAAAGGTTGCATCCATTTCGAAGCAGTATTTTTTTGCACATTAGAAAGCGATGAAATAAAACTCCTCCTCAGTTGGCCTTCATTTTTTATTTCAAAGTCGAGACTTTCAAAAATAATTAAGACTTTGAAATCCTTTATGAAGTACATATGTAACATTACTAGGCTGACAGGTTACATCTTCTGATTTCCATGTAATTGTAAGTTTCATAAAGCCTTAAATCTTGAAAACTTTCTATTACATGAGAATTTCCACTTTTTTATCAAATAAGTTACATCCTTCCTGTCTGCGAGAACATGGATGCCTTAGGTACAAAACTAGGAATTTAAAAATGACAAGGTAAATAAGAGAATCAGAAATCCGTATACATACTTAATCTGTTGATTGATTGGGGTACTTTATTCTAATCGATTGTACGATTTGGGCTGATAAAATTGGAAGCATGAACTGTGTTACACTGAAAGAGTAAGAACATTATCATATACATTCCAGTGAGACTAGAGATCTAGTACCTCAGATTAACACCAAACTTTCTCAAAAAGAGCACACAGTTAGTGGGTACTTCTCAGAATGTTGTGCCCATCTGCCATTCACTAAAAACATACTGTATCTGTAAATCCCTTCCCAGCCCTATCCCTACAAATAGGAATACTTCTCAAGTCCAATTATTTAACTAAACCTTTCTAAACACAGAATAATCTAACTCCCAGACTATTATTCATTAAAAGCTTTGTTATCTGTTGTATTTCAAAGTCAATAAATAAGAATTTAAAAATCAATCCTAACTCATTATCTCAGGCATTGCATCAAATACCATACAGACTTTCACTGAATGAACTCTTGTCCTGCAAGGCATCTCCTGCACTGAGTGTCCACTTAATCTGAGAGACAGACTTCCCATTTTTTCAGAGAGTAGATTTTAACCAAACGAACAGGACATCATAGCATGCATGATTAAGAAGTACTGCTTTTTAGTACTCAACTGTAAGTAATATACATAAAATAAGAAGTTGTATATTTTAATCAAATTTTGCAGATAGTAATTAGATAGTATTAGAGAAAACAAGGATTTTGACAAACAAATCAGCAGTACAGCTAGAATGTGAAAGCAAACATTTGTTAATACACCATGATGTCTCTTACTGAGGTACTGGAAGGATGAATGAGGAAAATATCAATTAGATCATAAAGATATACAGTATGTTTCCCTGAGCATCAAATTAGTACCCACACCTTAATAAGCATATAAATAACTAATTATAACAGAGTATGAGAATACACCCACGGGCAGGTAGGTAAGCACCCTGTGGAGACACTGCTACGTTACAGCTATAGAAAGAATGACCATTCCGAGACACATATTGCGAGCTTTCCCAGAGGAAATTTTTTTGGGAAAAAAGTGGCTTCTGGAGCTGAAGAAATTTTCTGCGAAGATGGGGAGTGAGGAAGGATTTTGTACAGGAATCACATTCACTTTCTAGTGAGCCTAGAAGAAATGGGACATTCTGGACTGCAAAATTTCATCATTTTAGTGTGATGATTTTATTCTTCAATGGCAGTTAAGTAGCTGAACCAGGAAATTTTACAATCTTGGATTTTCTATGTAAAGACAGTAGAAGACTTTAAAACAATTTGAAGAAGTTTAGCATTCCACTCAAATATGAGCTAGAAAGAGATATGCATGCTCATGTTCTATTTAAGTCCCCAGTAAGAGGAGAGTGGAGTTGTACTCTTCCTACAGAATATGGAAGGAAAACAAAAAGCTGCTAATTCCTCAAAATAGCTCACAGAAAGTGTGTGACGTGTCTATAGCTCTATCTCAAATCTTGCTGATGATTTTTAATTATTAAAAATAATGTTTACTAAAAAGGAACTTTAAAATATTACCTGACTCTACAAAATAGGCATGCACTAATACGTCCCTTTTAATTTTATATTTCATAGTACATTTTTTGCAGGACACATGTAGCTTAACACTGGAGGACTTTTTCTACAGTTATGTACAGGCTATTTAGATAATGTCTATGCATATGGATACACGTAAATGGAAATATACGCACAAGTATGGATAAAATAATACTACACAATACATCTCACATGAGAATAGAACGATGCATTTTTCATCAGAATACATTTCTGACCATTCCATCATATTTTTCAACTATTATATTTTATAAGCCAACAACAACGTTATGACTCAAGATCAACCATAACAGACATAGCTAAATACGCATCACTGTGAAAGTCATTACAAAGCCATTTTCCTCCTACAATAACATCCATCAACAGCAAGAATTCAAATTCAGGCACAAATAGCAGCAGTCATGCTAAAATTGACACCTTATTTTGATGTAAACATTTTCAACAACTTCCATCATTCCCATGTTCACCCATTCAAATACAAAAAAACCCCTCCAAGCTCACGGAAGTGAGATTAACATGTACAACATTTTAAAAATACTAACTACAACCAGACAATGTTAGTCATCCAAAACATTATATAATACCAGAAAACACTTATACCAAGCATAAAACAATCACTGTGTAAATATATATGTATATATGCATATATGTAGAATTTACTAGAAAACTTTGTGAAGTAGAAAGTGTGTTTTTTACTATTTGCATAGAAGGTGAAAAACAACTGCAGTGTTTCATACTTTTTGTGCCCTGTGACCTTCTAACTTCAGTTCTTTTGTCAATGATTGAATTCAGCTCTGAAGCATAGGGTAAAGTACAATATGAATACAAAAATCCAAAAGTAATGCTTTTTTGGCACAAACATTTGCAGCAAAGTTCATTTTGGATTTTTGTCTACTAAGCGAAAAAAAAGAAAGACCATACAACAATACTGAAAAACTGAAACTGAAGCAAATCTACCCATGAAATAAAGAATTCATTTTTACTTATCTTTGAAACGATGAGGCTTGGGATGGTAGTACATATACCTAGACATATACCTAGCATCGTATAAAGTAAGTTTGATTACATTTAGGACAGCATTCACTAGTTTCTGAATGTTGAGCATCTCTCAATGTACAGATTATATGCACCATCTATAAAAAGCTGAAGATGGAGTTTCACATCAAAATTTACAGACAGCCAGTGCTATGTCAATTCTATGCTTGTAGAATTAAAGGAGGAGAACCCCATCCTTGATTAGATAGTAAATAGAAATTACACTTAATTTAGGCTGGAATTTTCCTCGCCATGTGAAGATCATGCAGAATCCTGGCCGCCAGGAGGAAACCAGACAACTGAAGCTTTACAGAATTACAAAACAAGCTTTATGCTTAGACTCCCTCCATTTATTAAGAAACAAAAACAAATAGAGAAAACATTACCACCCTCAAATCAAACACCTCCAATATTTGACCGTTGACAATAAAATGATTCAAACTCTGTGTCAATTACTTTTAATTTTTTGCTATTAGAACTCTTACTGCTGTCAAAGAATTCAATTACAGCTAAAATAACGAATATACCACATAGTTACTTCAGCCTTTTGGTTTTCCATGCATTTGCTGAAGCAAATCTGCTAAAATGAAGCTTAGTTGGGCTTATCTATACCACCTGGTTTTTTACACAAAAGATTTCTCTGACCATAGATGTGCATCACTTCCCATGCAAATCTGATGCAAACCAGCAGAACACACCTCTGTGTCACCACTTCCAAGGGTAATGCAAGTCGCTAATTGAAGTCATGAGTATGTCTTTCAGCAGCGGTGTCTCCCCTCCGGTGATTATTCCTGCCCCAAAGCCAGCACAACTGTTTGCATGGCCATTTCATAAACTGGACCAAGGAAACAGTCTGAGTTAAAAAATAAACTATGCAAAACTAACTAGTTATGAATAATGCAGATCTAGTTCAACACGTGAGCATTACACCCAGGATAATTAAGCAGGCAACAAGACGGTGTGAATAAAAGCAGGGGTCTGCCCAAGCGGACGCCACTGCTTACAGAAATGCGCACTGAACTACATACCCAGGACACAGCGACAGCGATACCTGCAAAACCTGGATTAGCATCCACAGTATGTGTGTCTACTGTGAGCGTAACCTCTCCCTCTCCTAGTCAGAGTTCGTAACACGCGAGGAGAAGCAACCAGCCAGGCACACGCTGGCCCGACGCAGTGGTGGGGCAGCTGTCCGTTGATGCGCTCCAGTCATCTCACGGCTCACCTCTTACGCGTTACAGAGATGTCAGATGTGAAGTTGTCATATCTCAGTAACTAAGACTTTACCTATCTGTATAAAACAAACTGAGGTACCTGTACAATGATACGTTTGGTGTTTCAGAAACCGTATGTAAATAAATGACACTGAAAGCAGGCGTTAACCCAAGTATTTAAACTCTAACTTCAAAAAAAAAAAGAAGAAAACCCTCCAAATATCAGCTTTTCTAAGTTATTTGATTCATATTTTTTTGCATATAATGTATTTAGGCTGCTTAAAATTGGGAAAACATCCAAAATACATACTTCCCTATCACACAGGACGGGCAATAGGCACCTACGCGTCTCTTACAGAAAAAATCTATTTATACACATATAGACATTAAAAGTTATATGTATGCGTATTAAAAGCTACAATGTATGCTCTGACAATATCACAGCTTGTATAGTTATTATTATCAATAATGTCCAACGTCAATGTCTAACGAGTGTTGTTGTATGTGCTATGGCACTCATGAATATCTCACTATTTCCATTATTACTTAGGTCCTTCAGATATGTTTACTTTCAAACAGTAAGAAATACAATAATTTTACTCAAATTTGCTACAAAGATCAGTAATTTTACAACATTTTCAGAAGAACTGAATTTTTGTAACTTCTTAAGATCTTGTTGGTTCAGCAGTTTCTCTGATTTCAGTCTGTGGGTATTGGCTTTACAAGCTTTGAAGTAATATCAAAATGCACTATCCACTTTCCCAGACAGAACTACTATCCCATAACCTTAACAGCGTATTATTTAGACAGAAAACGTTTTAACAAAAGTTCTGAAGGAAATGGAGTTTGCTAAGGGAGAATACAACTGTTTCAACTGTAAGGGAAAATCATGAAGAGGAAGAAGCCAGAAGATTAATAGGACAATAATCACCAACGGTAAGGTGAGAAACCACCAGTCTATCGGCCACATGTCATTCATCAGTTGACTCAGACCAGACAAGGATTTTAAGACAGAAATAGGACGAGAAGTGAATCCTGGATGTTGAGAAATTTAACTGATACCAGAGAACAACTGTCTTCCTTGTCCCTGCAAGGGGAACCATTTCTCCCAATTCCTATGCATGGTGGGGCTTTGTTGTCTATAACATTTTTCTTCAAGCCTCTAATGCTATGCTGGGAATGCTTGCTTTAAGAAAATTTAACTGTACTACTTACGGAAATAAATTCTACATAACATCAGGGTTTTTCACATCTGGTGATGACAAAAAAGAGCACACTGAGACAAAAGCACTGCTTACCGGAAGGTGACTAAGTGGCACATCCACTTGACCCAGGAAGTCGTCTCTAGTCTGTCAAATAGAAAAAAAAGGCAGAAAAAGGAGTAATTTTACCTCTAAGGTCACCTTTACATCAGAAAAGCAAAAAATGATAAACATCAATCCAGTCACAATGAAGTAAAAATAAAGATGGTTGAGTACCATTATTTTAGCAATTACTGGTTTCTACCCCTTTATTGTTGCACATTATCTGTTGTTATAATTTATCTATTTCAGCAGAGCATTTTCTGTGACAGTCCACAATGGCTCCTTAGTCCACAGTACATATGTTAAGTACTGACGAAATTCTGTTTCCTCTGCACAATTCAAAGCACAAAGTAATAACCTATTCTTTCCATGAATTAGTCTCCACATGCATTAAAAAGCAGAGTAAAATTAATGTTCACCATGTCGTTGAAATGTTCATGCCAAAACTTGGTGACTTTTTCTTTAAGAAAAATGTCATATGCGCATCTGACAGGGAAGGGAAGGGAACCCAACATCCAAACAGTGAAGATAGAACTGCATGAATTGTAAACATTTTTTCCCAAAATAAAAATTCGTTTTATCACTTTACCAACCAGAAACCAAAGTATTAGAACTTTTTGGGTTTTTTAAAGAATGCTGTGCCATTAATTCAGAATGCTTACTTTGTGAGGAACAGTTACACATCCTTATAACCAGCCTTTTGAGTAATCCTGTATTTCCCACTTGAAGACTTGACCATTCATACGCTGCTTCAGGTTAAGCACGTGGATACGGTTATACCAACATTCGGGCCACACAGCGCCATCACAAATTCACTTATGCACAGCTAGGTCCACACAGAAGTGATAACACTACTTTTCTGCACGTTCTTCACTGTCTATTTGATCACCATCTTCTCTCAGAGTGAACAATCCAAAGGCACCATCTCCCATGAAGGTAACCTCCGACAAGCTGATTGTGGGACCGGGTCTCCATCTAACTATACCTTTATTACTGGGTATTTGAAGCATTACTCATAACTCCACCAACTATATTCCATACCCATTTTACAACTATGAAGATGAAAGGATAAAGAGAGCCCTTCAGGATCTAGAAGTTCAAAGATCTATCTAATCTTTGCAATACTCAGTAGTTCTTGAAGATGCTCAGACTGGACTGCATGCAGTGGCCTAATCACCCATTCATACCTACCACTTTAAAGAGCATAAAAATTCACACAAGAGACCTCAGTGCACTTCTAGCAATCCACTTACAAGGACAGACAGAAGAAAAGGAACGTGAAATATTAGCAGAGGTGGACAAACTAAGGTAAAAACTTTGAGAGGGTAAATGTGCACTGTTATCACTTACTTTACAGCTCAATAAAGCCTAGAAAGAAATGGCTCTCATCAATTTTTTCACCAAACAATAATGTCTGTTCAATCTATATATTCAGTTACACTAGATATAACATTTCTAGCTGAAAATATTTCTGCACTGAATGGACTGTGATTGCTTTAAATAAATTTTAGCTTTTAAGCACTGCTCAGGTGTTATCTTTATCACTTAGAGACACCTCAAAACTACTTCAGCATTTAACAATTTTTATGATTAACAGCATCACCTGAAGAGCAAAGTTGCCCTGGTACCTTTTATTATCAATTAATCTAAATCTCAGAGGTGATTTTTCTTTAAAATGTGGCTGTTACTATCCATCCAACTTCAACGCATCCCTGTGCAAACCAAAAATGCAGGCCATCTCCTTGTTTGAATTGCACACACATGGATCAGTTGATCTGCCCTGTTAGTAAGTAATAGAGGGCAACCCAGAAATAAAATCAATAAAAAGCACAGACAGTATAGTCAGGCACTGCATGGAGAGATTCCTTTCTGCCTCTCAGCACCACATTACCTCAAAATGCCACGCGTCTGAGTAGCTTACTGCTATTATAAAGTACCCCGGAATGTGACAGAGTACTCGCACACTGAAAATGAATCAAGTAACAAGCTCCCACCAAAATATAGTTCATAATGAGAGTAAGACCACAAGCAGCAGCGTACTGGCCTGCGATGCCAGGCCCAGGCGCTCACAAGTGCTGTAAAGAGAAGGAGTAGTGACTGGACCAACGATATTCAGAAGAAGCTGTGCAGACACCAGATAAATATTCCAATTTTTTCTTTATAAACAGTTCACCTTTCTGACAGATTTTCATCGACATGTTTGCACTTAACCTAACTGGAAGCACATAGTACCGCTCTGGACAATATCTAGGGAGGGTATCTTCAGAGCTGTATGGAGGTTGCCCACATGGTAGTGATGTGGACGTGCTGAAAGCCAGCTCTGCAGCTAATCTAATCTACTCATTGATTATGATTGTCATTTGCTCATTTATAACAGCAATTCACTGTTCTAGCAACTCGGATTAAGATTCCTTCCCTCCTTCCTGTGATGAAAGCCATTAAAAACATGGGAAAACCCCCAACAATCCAGAAACTCCACAAAACCACTGAGGAGCCCCAGGCGATTTCTTGTTGAAGGGAGACTGTGGGAAGACAGTCCCAAGCCTCCCTTCGTGCAACCAGATGCCCAAAGGAATTGGGCAGCTTCTGAGCCCCCAGGGAAGTGACAGCTGCATCACGGGGCACCAGGGGGTCATTCCTCTGACCCCTCACCAGGAGGGGCCATCTCCTGCTCTGCATCCCCCAAAGGTTAACCAAACGCCTACCTTCAGGGCTGTAAAAGCTCTCCTGAGGCCAACACAGGGTCCTCACAGAAGGGATCAAAAGAGGATATCACACTGCTGTCTCTACACTCTTAATTCCCACCAGTGCTTATTATTTCTTTCACAATCCACCCACAATTGAGAAAACCTTTCATCTTACAATAATTTTGGCCTGAAATGTGGCCAACCCTGAAACAAATCATCTGAAATGTAGATACTTTTTCATAAATCAAAAATACACAGGCTGTTCTAAACACAGAGTAACCCAGTAACGTGGCCATAGGGACAGCTGTCACGAGACCTACCCAAAAGCACCATGCCGACAAAATGAGGCCTGGGCCGCGTCTGCTCATCTCTCACTGACCAGAGGAGGCTGGTATGGGCCGGAGGAGCGAGACCAGAGATCCCTGCGCTGCCGTGGGGAGGCCGAGCGGAAAGCTCTGCCGAAGGAGCCTGGGTGGCGTCTGCCCGGCTCCCAGGCTGTGGCGCGGGCAGGAGAGGAACAGGGAAACACGGACGCACTGCAAGCAGCCCCACAGCCCTGCCACGCGCTCAGGGAGGGAGGCTGGGGGTAGTAACCCAGGAAACTGCCTATTTAATTGAATACAAATATATGATGTTTCCAATGCTATAGACACACACACAAATATAACGTAACTCCCTTTAAAATTAGTTTGTTTTAAAGCCAGACTTAAACCATATCTCGGCAATCCTACGCTTATCAATCATTTTAGCATCTTACCTAAACACGATGAATTCTAGCATTTTGATCTAGATTGGAAATGTTATATTCAACATTCAAAGGAACGAAATTTGGGCAACAGATGAGGTATAAAGTAATTAATTAGCATAGATGTGTGTGCTTTGTGAGTTGGTTACTGTGCTCGATGTATACTTGGTATTCATTAATAAGATACAAATTTTCAAAATAAAGCATACTGCATTCTTCAAAAATCAACTGTCAGGGAAAACAATTTCTCCCAGATACTGTTTATGATACCAGATATCAACCCTAGTGATTCCCAAATAACCTGCTGCTTATTTATAACCATGCTATGCACAGAATTCCAGGAAGTGCATACTGCTGCTCCAAAGCCAAGTTTACATATTTCTCATAGCAGAGCATTAAGTTTAATATTAAAATTCATATTTTATAGGATAACATCACAAGAATTCTGTTTCTACTACAAAGATAGCATAAAGTCCCGTGATCCCCAAAGCATGGACATATACTGCTGTGCATATTATCTGCCCATGGAACAACACACAAAGAGTATCTGCACCAAGGAGCCTGCGTTTTTTCCAAATTTAAGTAAAAACTGGTAACAGATTTTTCATTAGGGAATTTTGACTATTAATCTTCTTCCTAGCAACTACTGAAAAAACCTGGTAGCATGCACTGCTTTTAGAGAATTAACATATTTCTCCCTTTACATTGGCAAATACCAAGTATCTTCCACCTCCTGCTTCAATACAGTTACTCAAGTATCAACTACTCAGAAGAAAAGATATACCTATTTCTAGATCTCTTCATGCAGCTTTTAGTTCAAGAAAAACAGAACTCATGGACATGGAAAATTTTCAGGTTGGTTAGAAACAGAACTGTGACCAGACATGGATGCAGTTTCACTATGTATGTGGGGAAGAGGGTCCTTCCTCTGCACCTGAGATGGGGAGGAAACCCCACCGGGGCTTGATGCAGATGTGGGGACATAAAGAGACGAGTCTACAAAGTTCCCTCAGGGTATTTCTCAGCAGACATACACACAGGTGACTTACATCCATGTAATATATCCGATATATTCTGTAAGCAGACATGCTGTAAGTATACCACATATTTATCTGATTTTAACATATCTAGAAATCATGAGAACTGCTACATCTACACTGAATAATTGATTTTATCTGGTATTTCCAGATGCTCTACAGCCACAATTGTAAACTGGGCTGTAAGAACTGTGCAAATTCCAGACTGATGTTAAAAGTCTTCACTTCTACCCAGACCAAGTTTTCAAGAACAAAAGTAAACCCAGCCTTAAAAGCAGCTGAACCAACAAAATCTCTTTGCCTGTGGTTTTAGAGTGGAACTGGAAAATCCTTAGTTCTAGCCTGGCTCTGCCAGTGAGCTGCAGTGACAGTTTAAAAAAAATTACTTCCTCAGCTACTCCTATGGTCATCTCTACTGGTACTAAGGTTCTTGTAAAACTGAATCTTTACGCAACACGTTTGACTATACACATACATTCATACGAAAAATTATTTTGGGGGGGTTTAGTATATTCATATTTAGCATTTTAGAACATTTTTGTTCTGTGAACAGAATTTTGTCTTGCAGGCCTCCACATTTCTATTATTTAGGCATTCTCATCTTGGGGTTTCCTGCTTCCAGAAAAGGTACCTCACAAGCCACATGAACCTTTTTTCCTGGTCTACCATATATTGAATTTCCAGTACCTTATTTTTCACATTTCTCATTATAATGCCTGTTTCAAGAATCTCTTTCTCATTAAAATAAAAAGGGCTATCCAATCCAAAGGCTTGCCTGTTTAACTGCATATTGCAGTGCTGATTGCTGCTCAAGTCTGATCTTCCCACCCCCCAAGACAGAGAGTAATCCACTTTTAACAGTAAAGACACAGTATGCAGATGCTTATCAACCTACAACTTGAAACAGATTTTACCAATCAGAATTACTGAACTATTTTTCAGAGCTATTGGCTAGGCAATGATGCTTGTACGTATCATTATATCCTTTATTTTATATAGGTGATTATATAACAATATATGAAGGTAAGCAGTTATTTAATTTTTGTAAGCAGTAAACAAAAGGAAAAGTTAATTCACTGGAGAGAGACTGCAGCTGCCAGCAAAATCTTTACTGCCAGTTTTATTGTTTCAGGTTTATGAGAAAATCTTGATGACCAGCTGGAGTTGTCAGAAATAATCACTCTCAACATATGCCTTCCTCTTTAGAATGCCCCGGCAGCACCCACGGCTGTGTAACGCCTGGAGCCGCTCTGCCCTCGCCCATGACTGCCAGGCTGCAAGCAGCAAGATCCCTGCAGGACCGTGACTGCGTGTTGGACGGACTGCAAAACAACATTTGTGTGAAGCATCTAAGTAAGGCCCTGCACAAGTTACACAGCTGGGAAGGATCACAAAGGGACAAGAAAACTGCCAGCATGCATTGTCTTTTGGAGGGGCCAACCCCTGCTTAAACGTCACTGTTGTCTCAGTATTTATTCTGTGCTATCTATAACGTGGCTTCTGTGTGGCCAGATAAGATAGGAAAAGCACACGGCAGGGAGGGGTAGAGGCATGTCTCAGATGTTTTATAACAGTCTTGCTGCAAATCCTCAGACAAAGTATAACAAAAGCTATCCCAAAACTTTCTATTTAGTCTTTAACACTCCAGAGCAATTTTAAAAAGTTACGCCATCCTCTGTTCCAAACAACCACTTGCCAGAAGGGTTTTGTTTGGTTGGTTTAGTACATTTACTTCTGAAGAGAAGAAAGTCAGTGAAAAGATGAACCAATCTGTTTGGTACAGAAGAGACTCCTAGAAAGTTTTATTTTTATTTTGCACGTCACATCACAAACTGACAAGTATTCCTCACCATCCATTTTAAGTTGGAATTAAAGGAGAACAAAAGCCCACTTTAGAATAACGATATTTGAAAGTAACAAAAAAGCTCATGACTATTTGAGTTAGGAAATAAGTATTATTTTTAAAATCTGGTATTTATTCAGTTTTACAAAGGATGTAAAATCTCACTACTTCAGATACTGTCCTATTTTCCTGCTAGCTCTCTCAAAATGAAAGGTAATCACTTCTATTTTTTGACAGAGACATAAATACATCCTGCCTATTTAGGAAACCCCAATCTGTCCAACCATCTAGTTTATTTAGGCATTGATCTTGTAGAAAAGCAGTACTAATGCAAGAATCCTTTGATTTCTCTTCCGTGTGCTCAAACACATCAGGCACGTTAGGTATTCTGTACACTCAATTTTCTTGAGTGTGTGAGAGTTACCCATTACATCAGCACAGACATTACAATGAAACCTGGTCACTATCACGGAATCCCGAGTGTAGACAAAATCTCAAATATCCAGCAAATTACAGTGGGAAAAAGGATGCTTAACCTGTTGAGGTTCATGGAACCTATCCAGCACAATACATTTGTTTTAAGCCATGTCCAACATAAGGGAAATAAAGGGAGACACTCTTGCTTCATGACTCAAATGATTCAATAAGACATTAAAATATAATCTAATGTTAAATGTTGCAGCTCAATCTGCAAGTTAAACTGATCACTGAATACCATTCACCTCAAAAAACAATACCAAAAATTTAGAAAGTCAAGCAGCTGCTGAAATGGTCAGGAGCAAATTTTAATAAAACGCAGTACAAGAACCACCCAACACAGGCCCTCAAAGTTCCCAGAAGTCCCAAGCAGAAAAAGATTAACCACCCATTCTAGCCTGAAACTCACAAAAATCCAACTGCAAACCCAAAAAGATTGCACACAGGTATGCCACCCCATTGCAAGGAGGACTGAAGTCGCATGGTGAGAGCCAACAGGAGGAAGTATTTTGCTACCAACCACTCAACTCTTGTGTGTATCTCAGACAACCAGTACAGACGGTAGTACAAGCTTAGAAAAACAACAATTAAAGAATGATTCACTTCTTCCTTGATGCCTTCTATTACCGCCCATCCCACCTCCTAAAACCATCAGGAAATTTCAAGGTCAATAAATCGCTTCCTCTTAGGCACAGCACACAGAGACTCTGTGTTAAGGAACCATTACACTGGACTTTACACTTGCATACTCGTAATTACTTTTCACTTCCAAAAGGAAGTAAGTCTCAGAATTAGGTACTGTTGTTGGGAGCAGTAGGAGTGGCAAGGTTCGGGCACCTGATTTTCGTTTTAATTTAGAAAGTTAATACAGAAAAGGAGATAACGTGCAATCGAGGAGGATAAGGACAACTAGCATAAGTAATAACTGCTGGAAGAAAAAAAGATACTAGTTTAAAATAGATTTAGAACAGAGTAAGTGTATGTACAATTTTACTATCTAGTAAAGTTTGTCTGTATTTTACCTTTTACCTATGGTATCATTAAAGATCAAAATTAGAAGATAGCTATCATTAAAGGCAATGGCACGAGAAAACACTTCATTACTATTAAGTGTTATTAGTAGTCAGTGACTTAAAAAGCTTTAAAAAACAACTACTTTAAAATTCTAACTTCTGCCAAACAACTTACAATGTGAAACAACTGTTCAGCATGTGAGATTTAGGTGACAAGGTGACACTCGTAAGCCAAATGCATGTAAAAATTAGTCTGCAACTTGATATATCCAAGCTGCAAAGCCAGTAAGAAAAGCCTGGGATAAAGTTACACCACCCTAAAAGCCCTTGGTCTAGTAAAAAGTATAGAAAGGAAAGCATCCATCAACATGTAGGTACAAAACATGAAAATTTAGGATGGTATACATGGACCTCAATTTTACTTAATACTGATGCAAAATGGGAGTCGCATTTAAAAAGAAAAAGTATGAATAAAGTATTGTATTGATCTT